ACCTATGTGTTGCCTAAGTATGTCCACATACATTAGGCGTTTCTTGTTTTCACTAAGTTCTCCCCTTCTCACAACCTAGGGAAGAGGTGTAGCAGTGATCTCTTACTGCTTATTGATCCTGAAACTGTCAAATAAAAATTTAATTGCATTCAGTATCATATTCAAAATGCTGGCTTCTCCCATGGCTACATTATTGTCTGTGCAGTGCAATACCTTATTAAAGCTTTGGGTCATTAAGAGAATGTATGTTTAAACATCAGAGCACATAGCAAATGCAAGACTGCTGCATACATCCAGTGTGTGTGTAAATATATATATAAAGTTGGCTTACTGTGTTTCACGGCAAACTTAAATGGCATGATATTAGATGGTGTATGTATGTCTACCTCTAGCAGTGGAACCTGCTACCTGCCAGAAGACAAATCGCATTCCTTAACATTTTCTAAGCAGTGCATCTGTGCAGCCTGTACAGACAAAAGCTTTGTTTAGACTTGGAGACAAGGAAGAAGTCTAGAAGTATATAATTTTTAAAGTTTTCTTGAATAGAGAGCAGGTTCCAGCCTGGTTAAGTGCAGGCAAAGGGCTGAAGATATCCCACACTGCTCTTAGCCCCTTCGTACTGGACTGAAGCATCAAGACATGTCTTCAGAAAGTTTGAAACTGATCTCATGGAAGGTAAACTGACCCTTTTATTTAATGGTTTTTCCAGATGTTACACACCTGGAAATGTAGTCTGGACTGGAGGCCCTGATCCAAATTAATTCATAGTCAAGAAGAACATTTGATGTGTGGTCAAAGTCTTAATATTTACCCAAGTGCTTTGGGAGCCTAGAATAGTTAACATTCCCTTCACCCGGGGAGGTGGGGTGGAATTAGTTGAAGTGTAGGTCTTGGAGAGAGAACTGCTGAATATCATCTCTGTCACAGGATTTCTGCAGTGTAGACATCAAGTAATTTGAGTGCATGCTTTGTGCATACACTTACTCATCTGTACAATGGAAATACTTTGCTATGTTTAGCAATATTTTGTAGCGGCTTTGACTGAAGTGCAAAATCTCTTGTAACATATAGAAAATAGTTCAAGCCTGTGTGTTTGAGTAGCTGTGGAAGACACCAGTTAGCAGGCTCTCAGGGAGGTGTGGGTTCCACAGCTCTTGGCAAGATGTGGGAACTGCAGAGTGGCATTCCCCATGCTGGTATTCTGCATTTGCAGCGCTGGATGTGCATAGCATTCAACTTAGTATAGCAGTGTATTTTTGTTTCTTTGCTTAAACAGCAGAATGGCGTGTTGGAAGAACGTTAAATTCGCTGGCTTGGTAGAGCTTTCTTCCTAGCAATAACTTAGAAAGCTATTCTTCAAAAGTACTGTAACAGCCTAGATAGATATAGGGGAAAAAAAATCCCCAAACTCCATGATGAAACTCTGAGATAGAGGCATGGGTTTCAACTCATTTCCTTTCTTTGCACAGTATCCCTTCTTTCAAAAAGGAGTTTTGTTATTGCTTGCGTGAAAGATACACATGAAGAAGACTACATGAGTTCTTAATTACTTAAAAAAGAAGTAGGCAGTCTTAAATAATTAGATGCCTCCCTTTCCTTTTTCCCTGTTTTCTAATTTCTTCAGGTGAAATTGCAGAAGATGATTACATAGATAAGTCTCCACAGCAAATAAGATCTTTGATTTTGTTTGGAAAACCCCTCCAAAATATTTTGATGCTGGTACTAGTATGTTTAATTATCAGTACTTTTGGTTATACTTAGTAAGAACTCTGTATCAGCAGTTAAATATATTCTGTTCTCTGAAGCTGTCAGACTTTCAGCATTATTATTTTCCACAGCTTTTTGTAGGGAGAAGAATCAAGTTCCTTGGAGTGATGCATGAGCCTGAGAGAGGACGTGGGATTTTTTTTTTTTTTAAAGTCACGATTTAAAATGCTATCATTAAGCCCTAAGAAGAAAAGCAGCACATATTTTGAAAGCTGCAGTTACTCTTATTTTCTTTTTGGCAACATACATTGCACTGAATCCCAGACTTTGCTCTGTAAGGTAGGCCGAGTGTCCTGGTGAACAAGATGAACAGGAGTCATCAGTGTGCCCTTGTAGCAAACCATTGACTGGGCTATGTTAGCAGGAGCGTGGGTGGTAGGATGAGGGGAGGGATTCCTGCCCTCTGTCTGATGCTGGGGAGACCGTGTTCCTGAGCAAAGACACTGGGATGCTGCAGGAAATGTGGTGCACAGCTACCCGGACAATGGGGCTGGAGTGCACAAAGTGCAGGAGAAGCCAAGAGAGCTCGGTTTGTTTTCCTGGGCAAGAGGACAAGGCAGAGGGTTATTCCTGTCCGTTGCTACCTGGTTGGGGTAGAGAGCAGGCAGGAGCAGACTTCTTTCAGACACGAGCAGTGAAAGGATGGGAAGTAACAGATGCATTGCAACACAGGAAATTGCGATTAGATAGTAAGAGCAGGGGCCCAGAGAGGCTGTAGGATCTCCAGCCTCAGCACAACTTAATCTAAGTTGGTTTACTTTGGGGTCGGCAGTTGGATTAACTGATGTCTGGATATCCCAGGCACCTAAATTATTCTGTGATTCTGTCTTGCAAAATAAAAAAAAAATAGGAAAAAAAAAAACCCAACCCAAACCTTTAAAGACCTGTTGTCAATTTGTATTTTGTTTAAATTAAAACTTTTGAAATATTTATTTAAGAAGTTTCGGTTTCTTGTGCCCCCAAGTGACAGTCTGGCTAGCCTCAGTCTCTCTGTTCCTTACCTCATTGGTATCTAATAACTCCTCGAAATGTGACAGCTGATTCAGAGACACCAGCAGTGGTCCAGGGACTGGGGTGTACTCATCTGGTATCTGAAACTTTTTTAAGGTTGCAGAGAGGAGAGATGTTTCACCTGAGAAGAGTTAGCCGTTTGTGAATCCAGCTCCAGCAGTGGTAGTTCCCTCAGCAGTGGGGTTTTTTTCGTGACTGTAAAGTGCTAAAACCTTCCTGCTTAAGCTGCTTTCCTAATGACAAAGGCTTGCACATCGTGTGTCTTGCATAGCATTCCTGCCTTGCTATTACTTTCTTTGTTCATTTTTCCCTTTCCTGGCAGAAAAGGGGCTTGAGGGCAGTGTCTGTTTCCTTGGGGTTGTCTCGTATCTGAAAATGATAAAATCCTCTGATTAGAAAATTAATGAGTTCAGCTTCAATAAAATAAAAACACTTGAAAGAAGCAAAGAACCCCCACCAAGTTGTAACACAGTTGAAGGCAACAGCAAGAGGATGCAGACAGGAGCTTTCTAGCTTGTTTTTCTGTAGTACCTCGCGGAAGAGTTTCAATTCATAGCAGAATGTCGAACTCCAGACCTGGAGTTGAGATGATTGGAGCCGTTCTTCAAATAAATATGTATGCAAGTGAGTGTTTGTGTGTGAAATATATGCTTTGATGGGAGTCAGGGGGTTTGTGTTACAGTTACTGTTTCCAGTGATGGGTGTCTGCTGCTTGGATAACTTGTTCTTTTATTATTCCTTATTTGTTAATTGCTGTGAAATTGTCATCTTGTCTTCAGAGATGATAGTGGCTTTACCAGCACGTTTAGGACTTCAGTTTCACGAAATGCTGGGTGTGGGCTTTGTTTTTGTTAATATGTTTTTGTCTGTTTGGGTTGGTTTTTGAGGGTATTCTTTTGGAGTTTGTAATGGACATTGTCCATTACTAAGGTGACACCTCAAATCCCCAGTCACCTGTGAGCAGTCGGGTCCGTCATTATGCAGTATAACAATGGTATTATCTGCTTACTTTATAATCCGAGCCGCTTGTTCTTTTGTGGTTTTCTATTGACAGTCTTTCCTTTTTGGGAAAAGACAAGGAATGGGAAAAAAACAAGCATTTTCTGATGGTTTTTATATTTTTTAAACTATGTACTTAAAATTACATGCTTGTAGAAGCTTTACATAAATGGCCTTTTAAAATTATCATGTATTATTTGCCATGAATGGGGTATAAACCCTTCTCCTGGTGTCTGCTGAGTAATTTGACAGAAGTTGTGCTTTAAAACAGAAACTTAGGAGGACTGTAATGTCACAGTGTTGGTAGAACTCTTTGCTATATATACTCTGCTGAGAAAAGCTGAAGGGATCTTGAATAAATGCTGTGGCCTGCGGAATGCTTGGCGAGTGACCGGCAGAAAGGAGTTGCAGCAGCAGTTCGTTTTTATAACCGCGCCAAGGAACGCCCCGAGCGCAGGGCAGGCGCTGCTGCTTGCCGCGGGGCCTGTGCGCCG